CGCTCTTTGGCGCGCTGCAAAGCGCGATGACGCTCTTTGGCGCGCTGCAAAGCGCGATGACGCTCGCCGGCGCAGTGTAACGTGCGACGACGCCCCTCAATTTGCAACAGCGCTCCAGTCTACGCACGCGAACGCAGACGCAGACGGGAATCGATGGGCATCGCTCAGTGGCCAATGCCGATCAATAGCAGACTGCGTGATCAAGCAACCCTCCCCCATACCCTATCAATACATGAGTGGGCCGCCGATCAGTTCCCTTCTGCGGCTGCGTTCGCGTCTATACCTTTGGAACAATCGTAACGTGTTACAGCACGTCGACGCGTATCGCTGCAAAGTCAAGACCCTGCCTAATCACGAATGTCTACTGTTGCTTTCCCTCTGCGAAGAAAAAGCATAAGAAACGCTAAGGATAAGGCTCTTCTACGTACAGTCGATTTTAGGAGCGTGAGAGCGTACACCGAAGAAACAGTAGGGGCATGGGCGAGAGACCAGACGCAGAAGCCAAGAGAGTATGTATCAAAGATGCAATTGGTGCTTTGAGCAACACTTCTAGTGGGCGAGGACAGTCATAAGTTGCTAGCCTCTAACATTTTTGTTGTCATATGGTGCAACCTTTTATTTCACCCCCCCCCAACTCCCTCCACGTAATCACTACTCTGCGAATGCCGGCTCTTCTTCTTCGGCTTGTATATGATTTCAACAATTATTTTTACATCACGGTACCTGTATAGCTCCTCGACCGAAATAGCATCCTTTGAAATATTTGCCAGTTGTCCTATTTGAACAAGGATAGAAATAACTGATATCGGGTGCCTCGGCACAGTACCTTAACAGGCATCCTTTTCGTATTCCGGGCAAATCAACAAGTTTCTTACTGCTCACCTTCCTGCTTGTACACAAGTGGCACCATCACTGGGTTTGTAACCAGGAGAAGCCTGATCCATGAATGCGCTTGTGGGACCGCCTTCGAACCAATTGTAGAATCCACCACGATAGAAGCAGTCAGCAGCGTCTTGTAAAGAGCGCTTTCCACTAAATGCAAGTGTAATGCAAAAAGTAAATCATAGCTGTGTGATCCAACTCAATCGCCCTGTACTTTTCTCTCGTGCGGATGAAGGGGCGTGTCAGACCGTATGAGTGTGCTACGGCGCCAAACCCGGTCTCTACCAGTTGTTGAAGCGGGTAGGCGACAACAAATGGTAGAAGACGACAGTCTTGTCACTTGCTCGCTTCAACAGTGAACGGGTTTCGCACTGCGCCAAATTCGTCCCGCCTTACACGCCCATTCTTCCGCCTCTAACTAGACTGTGACTATGTCTACGTGAGGCATCGACAATGGTCAATGGGAACGAGAAACATGCTCCCACAGAGCTTATCTGCGCGGTAAAGTGTAGTGGTAACAACAGGAGACGGACAGGACAATCGCAATTTGCGGCCCAACTCGTGCGCGGCATCTGGCGATTGTCTTGTCCTACTATTAAGAACGACGACGGGTGGTCCCTTTTGCAAAGATCCATCGTATGAGCCAAGTGCATGCGCTAGTGCTT